CAACTAGGAAACATCTGGGCAAAAAATAGCCTTAGACTGGGACTGAATATGTTATAAAGTCATGTAGAATATAACTGTTTTGATCAGAGTTGTTACAGCTACCTTATGATTTAAGGTCCCGGATAGTAAAATAATAAATAATAAGGAATATGGTTTTTCCAAGAGTATCACACCGCAATAGTAATGTATGAGTGGTCTATAGGTCCCAAATTTTTTCGTGTGAAATATAAGAATATGAATGCTAAGGAATCATTATTATCATATCTCTTTTTCTAAACTAATCTTTACAAAGTAGCAAGTCGCTATTGTGTGTGCATAAATCTTCTTTTGAGGTCAGATTTTGTTAAAATAAGGTGCTGAACTGTTTCTGAGTAGGAACATTGAGTTGTCCTCCTCTGAAGTTTGTTGGCTAGAAAGTAGGAAAGGAGGAAGATTTTGCAGATGTGAGTTACTTTGTGCATGGTCTTAGAAAGAGAAATTAATGGATGTGCCCCCCCATAATACACATAACAACTTGTGATTGGCCCATGTACCGTATGCCAGTAACATCAATCAAAATTCAGCCATTTCTTATATTCATATTTGTGAAAATCTAAATATCTACACATTGCAATGTGCATTTTGTAATATGAGTCCGCTGCGAGTTAGCAGCAGCGGAAAGAATGATGGATATATCGTATCAGCACAGTTTCTTGTTGTTTGGCCTTTTGAAACCATCAAGGAGATTCCTTCCCTGGCTGAAAACATCCAGAATAATGTTCAAGGTAACCCCCTTTTTAAAAAATGATTCTATTCTGTTGTGTTGATGCAAAACTGTTCCATGGCTTCCATTTTGTTTATACACATTGGGAAGCTGCTAAGTATGGATATGTTTTCAATGCAATGGGTAACTTTGATATAGCATTCATTGGCAGTCCTTGAAACTCTATCATCAGCCTAATGTGTTTACTTATTGTATTGACTAGAGCAATATAGTAGAGCGAATAAAGAGAGTTGAACTATTGTATCCTTGGTGAGCAATACACAATAACATAGTTCTGACTCTTGTCCTCTGAAGATGCCAGCCACAGAGACTGGCGAAACGTTAGGAATAAAAACTTTAAGAACACAGCCAAACAGCATGGAAAACCTACAACAACCATCCACTACACAATAATATTTATTATTATTCTTGCATTACTTTTCACCTCTTATGTCCTCCTCTTTCTTTTGTGCTGTAATAAACAAAACTGTTGTGGGGTTTTTTCCCCATGATAATGCTTCACCCTTTCCCACAAGAGGCCACTGTTAATTTAGAAGAGTGCTATATCTAAGTGGTTCTGAACATTCCTTTCAGTGTTCATTACCTTGAATTTATATCTATTGAATTTCATTGTCCATTGTGTTTCCTTATTGCCTGCACGGACTAAAACCTCCTTATTTGTCTTTTCTAATACTTTCTTAGCTAAATAAATGCTGTGTCATTCACCAATATCAGCAGTTCATCCATTTTGTACTTGGCCCTGACAACAGAGACCCTCACATACATGTACCCTTGTTTCATTTTGAACTCTTTCCCCGACTGTACATTAAAGATAACCATCCCAAGAAGCAGGAATTCCTTCTGTGCTGAATTTGTGTGACATTGCCTATAATTTGCAAATTACCTTGCTTTGTTTTGTGATTTGTCTTTAGGTCATAAGCCCCTTTTTCCTTTGTAAGTGTAATTTATCAGGCACAAAAGATTGCCTCATTCACATGTGTTCAACCTGCATATCATTTCACCTCTGATTATGATATGCTATCTTTAAGGGCTACCCGTAAGACCAGGGGCGGGCACCTGTGATGGGTTGAGGGAGGCTGTTAATGTTTCTGGACCAGCTGGTTATAGGAATAAGCACAATCTGGGAAATGGGGCACACAATCCATGTAAAAATCCAGCTAACTGAATAATATGACAACGCAGAGCCAGAGGAAATAACCTGTTGTGGAGTATGCGTTTGTTTTGTTTTCTTTTGTTTTTGAAGCTGCTCAGGTGGCAAGAGGCACCTTGGGTCCTTTTGGGAAGAAAGGCGATAGATAGATAGATAGATAGATAGATAGATAGATAGATAGATAGATAGATAGATAGATAGATAGATAGATAGATAGATAGATAGATAGATAGATAGATAGATAGATAGATAGATAGATAGATGCTGCAATTATTGCCATTGTTCCCACTAGAATTTACATTCTGTGTGGCTCAAGATAGATGGGAAGATTTTCCAGACCCCCACGCCCTGAGCTGGTGTTGCTAGCACTTGTGCAACAAGAAGGTTTATGATGCTGGCACTCCATTCCGTGGCTTTCTCTGAACTGTAAAATGGACCCAAGTGTGTGCACTCACTGCCTTTCTCCCATACCCACACTTCTATTCCTGGTCTTTTTGGGCACCAGCATTGTCCATGCCTAACATAAAAAGTTAAGTTTTCGCATTATCATATTCTAGTTTCTTCGCTCTGGCCTGTCATAGTGACAGAGTTCACATTCATCCTCCAGTAACAACCCAGAATTCTTGGAGAATGTTTGCAATAATAATTTTATATGAGCACAGATAGGTTTTTCTTTGGTTACCCCAACATTATTTTTATTTGTCTGTTGCAGCCAGGAGCAGTGGAAAGAGACATGGGTGAGTGAGGGTGGTCACCTTCAATATTTTTTTCTAGTAGGAGAAAGCTGATTTTGACTAGCATTACTTATCCTGCAAAAAAGCTGGTCCTGCTGAAATTGCCTCTTCTACACCCACACTAATCAAAAGCTCCTACAGCCTCACCCCACTTTTGTTTCTGGTCATTCATTGTATGGAAAAAAGGAAAACAGAAGACGTTAACATCTGTTAAGGACCAGCTTAGTGCAAGGAAATGCTGCAGCCCAACATGTCTTACATTACAACATTTCATTAGGGACAGTGAGATGTATTCATTTTGTTTCTTCTCAGTTTAGAATATGCCAAAAAGCAACATTATCAGGTGACAGAAATGGATGAAGCAGGTTTCCCTGGAGGAAGGTATTGAGCTGAAACACATTATGTTATGGCATCTCTTGACAACAATTTCATAGCACCTGCTGGGACTTTCTTTACTGTAGCTTGGTGTTTTTCTTTTTTCCCTCTGTCTTTCTATGCCAACTGTGGTCTTAGTCAGGACATACCGTACTCTATAACTGTGATGCAAATTTTTATAGACTGTCTATCGACAGTCTTACAACTAATAAGCTTTAGCTCTATACTACATTCACACATCCCCTGCGGTCTCTGTGTGAACAGAATATAGGGATAGATAAGTTTTAGGTCTCATCCATGATATCTCTTCTTATATTTTAATCTTTATATATGTAGACTGCATATACAGTATTCTAATTTTAAAAGAATATTATATTTACCTCGCTTCCTTGCATTCTCACACTGGAAATACAGTAAAAGCCTGGATTCTAGTGTTGGTTACGACACCCATATTCCTCTGTCTGTAAGCACAAATTTCTTGATGCCACACGGTCAAGAATGAGATGGGAATGTGAACTGTCATGCAATTTTTAGGTGGATTCCTATATGTCTGTGATGGAAGAAAAAGACTAAGTTTCAGAGTCTTTTAGTTCAGCCTTTTCTGCACTGTGTGAAAGTAGCATATGATTTAACTCACCTTATGTCAATCCCTGCCAGCTCTCTAAGTAGACTGGAGGCCTTCAGTTGCAATGCATGAAGAATTCCTATATTTTGTGGTCATCAGCTTTTTGCAAAGCACGGCCACCATTTCTGAACTTGTGCCTTCATCTGTAATTACGACTTGTGTTATTTAAATTCTAGAAAGGGGGGGGTGGAGGGCATGCTTCTCCAGATGCCATTGGACAGCAGCTACCATCACTCTTCACCACAAGCTGTGCCGGCTAGAGCTTGTGGGAGTTATAGCCCAACGACATCTGGAAGGGGGCCTGCTCTAGATTACTCCTTGCAAAATGACTGGTGATTGGAGATTCCTGCCATGTAAATAAACTAAGATTTTAAATGCCTGCTCTGTGTTTTGTCTTCTTTTTAATTTGCTTCATTTTGTTTGGCTTCTGCGAGGGGAAAACTCTTCACCAGTGGCTGGATCAATAGTTTCAAAAAATAGGCAACATTCTGGTGCTGTGATAATTGTTCTATAGAGAGCTGTGCAGCTGGAGTGTTATGAAATCATAAAGCACACTAATTATGTTGTATGGTACTCTGGGCTGCTCCACAATAAGGCTTGCCCTGTGCAAGTTAGGGGCACATGCTGAATCGCTGTATTGCCAGCTGAGACAGCAGAACTGGTCTGATCTTTCTCTGAAGTCTGGCCTGCTACTGAAATTGCCAAGAACAGAGAGTCGTTTCAGTTCTTTCCTATCTTTTCCCCAGAGGTGAATTGTAGAATGTCTGGTGTTTTCTAGATTGCATTGAGGATTATTTAGTACACACCCTCAAAAAAACCAGGCCCTCTCTTACTTTGAATTTTTTTTCCATCAGTCTTAGAGGACAAGCCAAGTCAGATAGATGGAGGAATGGTGCATAGACTGGTAGGTCAGGCAACAATACAACAAGAGCAAGGTTGTCAGCGAAAGTGTCCATTCCTGCCGTACTACCATGCCACCTTGGACACACAGATCTCCACTGATTTTGGAAACTGATCAGGGTGGATTTGGTTTGTACTTAGAAATGCTATTATTAGGAATCTACAAATAGGTCCAGGAATGAATCCTGCCTGCAACCTTAGAAAGTTAGCCTTAATAACCTAGATGGATCAGTTGTCTAATGTAGAATAAGGCACCTTCCTATATCCCTACAGTGGAGCCAAGGAAGTGTTAATCAGTCTGTCATTCAAGAATCTTTTCTTTTTAAAGAAGCCACTGGAAAGTGGGAGACAAAAGAAAGAAGGGGAGCTCACATGACCAAGACATAACCTCGTTCAGGAGTCATTCCTGACACTGGTGCACCTAACCTGTAGGTTTCTCTGATCTCTTCTCAGGGGCACCCTCCCGTGATGTCCTTCTGGTCTCAGCCATCATCACCATCAGCCTTAGTGTCACTATTGTCCTGTGTGGGATCTGCCAGTGGTGTCAGCGCAAACTGGTAAGTTATAACAGTCTATGTTCAGCTATGTTCAAAAAATAAAACACAGAACAGGTAAGAGAGGCTTGTGCTTTTTCGGTTTTTATTTTTTCTGGACAAGCCTGCTGTTTAGAACCATAAAGGCTTTAAAAAAACCCTTGGCTAGAGTAGGCTGTGAAACAGACTGCAAAAGAACATGCTTCCTGGGAGAGAGAGTCAAACAGGAGTTTAATTACAGTGCTGTTGACGATGATGATGATATAATGCTGTTTCCACAGTGCCGCCTATGCCTGCTATACGCTCAGGGCATAATACCAGCAATTAAAGTATGGCTGTAGCTCCACTCTAATAATAATAATTAAAGATCAGGAGCAGGTCCAAAATGCCGTAGCCAGATTGCTTACTGGGGATGGTTACAGGGAACATATGACTCCTCTGTTATGGCAGCTCCACTGGCTACCGATCCATTTCCAGGCACAATTCAGACTGCTGGTTTTAACTTATAAAGCCCTAAACAGCTTGGGTCCAAGCTATCTAAAAGACCGTATCTCCCTCTATGAGCCTGCCCAGGCATTAAAATCATCAGGGCAGGCCTTTCTCTCAGTCCCACTGCCCTCACAGGCATGCTTGGTGGAGACACAGGAGATAGCTTTTTCTGTCACTGCTCCCAGACTGTGGAACTCCCTCCCCCAGGAAGCCAGGCTGGCCTCGTCTTTGCTGTCCTTCCAAAAGCAGATAAAGACATTTTTGTTAAGGCAGGCTTTTCCTTAGTTACTGACTATCTGAAAGGGGATTTTAAACAGATTGTTGAGCTCTGTTGCTTTTAAATTTGTTTTTAGTATTGATTTTAGTTATTATTTTTAATATAATACTTGTTTAATTATGTTTAAAATATTTGTATAATTACTGTTTATAACTTTTAAATATTGTCTTTTTAATGATGTAAGCCACTCTGGGTCATTGTAAGGAGAAAGGGGGGGAGACATTAAATGAATAATAAATATAATTTAAATAAAATAAAATACATACTTACATAGGGAGAAACCAAGCCAAGGAATGGACGAAGAAGAAGAGAAAGGAGGGAACAGATGGAGAGCAGAGGATAATTGCTCATCTCAAAAAATGGGATGGAAAGATAGTGAATGAGGAATGGAGTCATGATAAACCTGAGAATCTGCCAGATTCTATCATCACCTGTGTAAATTTACATGAAGGCACTAGGAACCATGCTATGTATTCATCATTAACAAGTTTTCACAGCTTGGGCACTGGCTCCATCTAGTGGCCTGTTGTGGTAATACATGTGAAAATAGTTGCTTCTGGATCTTTTTCTTTTAATATTTTTAGATCTGTGTATAAGTGATTCTGTTCACAGTAGGACCCTGGATGCAGTGGTCCTCCTGTGAACAGAATGCTGTGTTGTTTGCTATTAAAGTATAATCTGGGTTGACTTCCAGTCTGAATAGGAAAATGCTGTTCACAGTTAAGCTGCTTAACTTTTGTCTCTTCAGTCCTCTCCTAGCTCAGAATCACAAGGTTCACATACATGCATCCACACATATACACATCAACAGAAAAACTGTGGAAATCACCATTAGCTTTAAAAGACTGGTCTGGTTTCAGCTATAAAACTCTTTCAGGAAGCTGTCTTCTTTCTTCCCCCCTTAGTTTCTTTCAAAGGAAGGTAAATTATGTATGCAAGTGGAGATAAAGAAAACTTTCTTTTAAAAGGAGGGGGGGTTGAATTGCCTAGAGAGGAACCAATGAATGTTACCTTTTAGTTATCCTATCTTGAATCAAGCCATAGGGAAAAGACCGGGATCATCCTAGTGACCAGATGAAGCCAGAATTCCTCTGGAAAACATGTTTGGTTTTATCCAGGCAGGGACTTCTTTCATGGAGCATGTACCCATCAGTTTGTGCTCTGAGGCATAATAATCTGATTATCCAGAGTGCTTTGGCATCCTCTCAGAAATGCCAAACCATTTTTAAAACACACTTTCTGCACCATGGACAGTTATGCAAGTGCACATGCACACACACACACACACACACACACACACACAGAGAGAGAGAGAGAGAGAGAGAGAGAGAGAGAGAGGGTATTGTTTCTGATATGTTTGATGATATACAACAGATGTCGAACCCATCTTTTGTGCGTGTGTGATTTCTCTTCATGCTATTAATGCCATGTTTAAAGCTTTAAGAACTTATCTCTCCCATGTTGTACCATTGTGCTAAGGGACCACTCACCTGGCCTTCAAAGTAGTAGTGGAAATCTCATGCTGTGATATAAATGGCGATGAGCAATACTGCTTCCTCATATTCAAGCTTGTTTTGTTTTGTGACCTTTTGTAGGGAAACTCCTTAGAGGCTACCCTGATGTGTCATTCTAGTGCAAAAGGACTGAATTAGCAAATCCTGCAAGTTTTCATAAACCTTTCATTTTTATTCATCATTATTAACTTCTTATTAACTTTCATAAATGGAACATTTTCATAAGACCAGAGACGCTGTTTAAACAGCTAAGAAAACTGGAATGTATGTGTAGCATCATTTATTTTTAATTTAAAATGGAGGAGTTTGCAGTTCTCCTGTGTTTGTGTGTGTATATGTGTGAGTGTGTCCTTCACATGCACACATGCATGCATGTGTGCACCTGCGTGCACACACACACATTGCTATTAACTGTAGAATAACCTGCATGCTAGGTTTTTTTTTTAAAAGGGCATTCATGGGTTATGGCTATAAAATGGTTTATTTCTCACATTTGTTTTGAGCTGTTCTCTAAAGGGACCCACAGTAAGACACAACAACCCTGTGTGGTAGGCTACGCCACCTGGTGAGCAATGAGGTGTATGGAGATATGAACCCAGGTGTCTCATATTCCAGCCCTTCATCCAGTACAACATTCAGTCAGCTGCCTCATTGTGACATCTTCTAAACAAATCCATCTTTAACAGTTTAGCATCTCTTAAAGCCCAACATAAAAGCCACTTCTGTGCTAGTGAAGAAATGAAACCAGCAGGAATCAAGATGATCAATAAAGTGAATATATGCATTTTCTGAGATCCATAGTCACAAATAACACTTAGCAAGATCCCTGAACATTTGTGGGGATTGAATTCAATGTTGTTCAGAAAGGACAGATAAGCAAGATCGTGGCACATCAAAGCCTGGGCCATGCAACGAACTTGAAAATCCCTGGCTAATTTTTATACTTCTATTGGGAATAAAATTTGGATGATGTACCATCTAGTGAAGTAATAAAAGCATAGGCTCACATATGCTGTCTTGGTGAGAAAGAGGGATATTATCATGTGCTTGCCTTTCACAAAGTGTCTTGTGGCACATTAACTATGATGTAGTTTTTCATAGATTACAGTTCACTTCATCAGATAAATGAAATTTGAATCTAAATGCACAGGCATATATGTGTAAACCTATGTATATAAATGCATATATATGCAGATATGCACACATACATAAAACAAAGTTTGGAAGATGTATGTTTTGGATTAGAACACCCTGAATATCCTAGTCAGCATGGCTAGCAACCAAAAAAGTATTCCTATCTTTGAGACAAACATGCACATGTAAACAACAGGGCAGAGGGGATTTCTGTTCAATAAGGTTAAAAAAGGAAATGACAACAACTACAGGCTGCCACCATAGAAACTCAATGTAAAATCATTACCAGGCTGATCATTCAGAAAAGTGCAGATGATACTAAAACTTTCCTGTCATTGGTAATACATGGGAAGGATCCATATGTTTCTGTCACACTCTTTTCTCTTTTCCTTCCTCATTCAAACTATTCAACAGCTTATAGCTCATCAAGAGAAGTCCTTGCAAGGGCAGTTTTATAGGTAGCCAGCCGGTCCTCAGATGCTCTTCACCTGAAGTTTCCACCATAGCATCTGGTCATTTTAACACTCTGCTTCAGATCATCTCCCTGCTTGCCTATTTCAGAGTCAGCAGCTTGTATGATATTCAATAGAATAAGGCTTCAAGGGAAACACATGCCTTCCCCATGTGCAGAATTTCCATGCAGGTAAAGCAGGTGAAAAAGTTGCCTTTGGAGAGAATCCAGCTGGTAACTAGGTTCTAGAATCTGTGGTGGGATGCTTCCTGTTACTTTGTCTTTTCACTGGAAGTAGACAGGCTCTGGGTGGCCCTAAGTAATTTTTCTGGCCCTGGGTCTATCCAAAGAACTCACCAGCCTCTCCAAAGGAAACCAGAAAGGAGATGAGAGTTACTTCCTGTTTGAAAGAGAATCACGTCTGTTCATTTTGTTCTTTTTGAAAAGGGTAGCTTGTTAAAACAACCTGTTGGGGCATATCTTATTTTAGCAGAGACATAATTCCTCTATATTTGAGGGGTTGGGAATCAAAAGGGTTGTCAGTAGGGGTTTGTTATTCTTCTGGGGCCACACCAATGTCCAATGGGTCACATGTTTCCCATTCTCATCTTTCTCTCAATTAAAGTTATTTTTTTCCACAGTTCTAATTTCATTTTCTGAAAAATTGGTGTTTAAGATGTTGTTGTTACTCTTCATGCCATTTGATAGGAGGCACCATGAAGGTTTTATGTGTATTAACCCACCAGAGATCAGAAGCATTGTTTTACAGAATCCTAGAATCCACCACAAACATAGACTATTTATCTGCTGGTCTTGACTACCTGTTTCCTTCTCAGTGGAAATGTTGATTTTCCATATGTCATCATATCATTAATGTAGAGATTCTGGGAGAAACTAGACTGATCTGGGTTGAAGATCTGTCTATTTAATTAAATACAGATGTTTACAGACACACAGAAAGTGGCAACAGTGGATGGATGTCTCTTCTGGAAAGCAAAAACAGAGGACTGTTAAACCTTTCCTGCACTTTACCTCTCTCACAGTGGGTGCAAGTAGATAGTCAAATTGCATCGGGCTAAATAGGGTTGCTTGAGGTTGCACAGAGGTGTGGTATGCCATTTGGAGCTATCCTTGCACCCATATGCAAGGATTGTGTTGT